GCAACTGTACCCATACATTTCGATACAGTTCCGATGTATGTTCACACAATAGGTGTACGTACATACGTTACATGGCTGGGCAGTCGCGATCGTAAAACGAGTGGACAGCTTCCTGTAGTGATGTGAATATTACTGTTTATAGCTCACTAAATAATATTTAAGCATTGTTGGTTGGATTTGATAAAAGCTGGGTGTCGCGTTAACAGAAATTAATACTACCATATATCAAAGAATTGAATTATGTACTTTTTTAAGGTTATACATATTTATAAAGTTCGTGATGCTACCAAAAATTACTCGTCTGCATTCATATTTCAAATTAACTATAGTACAAAAAAATTGACGTTCTTCTACAGAGGACATTAAGAACTAGATTCTAGAAATATTCCAGGCCAATATATAGCCAATTAATAAATTTATACTACGAATTTTACCTTTCCTCATCAAATTAATGTTTAGCCATCAATTTACGGTACATTTAATGTTTTAGCGACTTTTAATGGGTATTATAAATAGATTGCATAATCATTTTATGGAATGAGAGAACAGAATTAATACAATACTATTCCTATCATAGTATCCTCGGGTTTACTGTGCTATCAGATGAAGTTCTTGGACTACTTGAAAGTTTTAAGCGAATTTACTGCTTATAACGATAGTCATAAGGATTGTATTTGTATCAAACGTTGCAATGGAGCTTTGAAACCTGTGTCAACAATTGTCTCCGGAGTAAGTGCTATGGTCTTGTTTCTACTTTTAGTTAGTCTTGCCTTAGTTTATGGTTCTTATGGTAACCTAAAGTTCTTTGTCCTGTTGTCCAGATATAAAGATATAACATAAAAGAGTCTTATAAATAATATGTATAAAGATTCTCCTGTATCGTAAATACAAAGCTAAACCGAATTCAGAACCACAACATTTTTGTTCCAGATTTTTCAGCCTCTGCCCTTCAAAGGATTTTTTGGGTTTTTTGCGGGAGTCATTTGCGAGTGTCGCAACAGTTTTCGTAATTTTCCAAATAAAAAGTGGCCTATGAATATTATAAATATTAACTTTGGAACTTTAGATTATACTGTAAATGATTTTACCATATGAAATTGGAAAAGTTTAGAAAACTATACACTTATAACTTTAGAATGATAACTTTACTATTGTTTTGTAATGTACTACATTACAATATAATAAATGCATGCATTTGATTGTAATTTTATATATTACAAGTTAACGGATTTATGTATTTTATGTTGTATTTTTATTAATTAATTAATTACGAATAAATCTTAACAATACTTATTTCATATTTTAACAAAACATTCCAAATAATAATAAAAATAGCGCCTCAAATATGGACCTGAGTAATATTATATAATTTTTAGTACATAAAAATAAGCTGCGACAGATGAGCTATTGCTCAGCTTATGTCATAACGGTCCGGGAATGTTTTATCTCAATTAACGTTAATAATAATTAACTGTTGAAAGTAAATACAGCGAGCAAAGATTTATGTGAGAGATTATCAGCTGCGGAAAGGAAAATTTGTTACATTTTAATTAGTGTATTATGTACATTAATATTAAGTGCTTTCTCGCATTATATGTTAAAAGGGTGTTTTATTAAGACGATAATTTAAGATATTTTTATTTATTTTATATTTTCTATGATTTAATAACTATTAGTTTTTCGCATATACAATAAGGATAAGGATATTTCACGTTGACGAAAATTTATGACGTATAATTGTGTTATATATTTTGATTAGATATTAAAGAAATTGGTGAATAAAACTTAATATTTTAAGATATTATTTCCAATTCTTCTAATATATAACACAAAAATACAATAAAAATAAATTCACTTCGAGAAGTCATGTTATTAATCATCATATTGATAAAGCAATTAAATATTTACTTATAATATTAATAAGCTTATAAATATATTGAATATTATTTTAAAAAGTATTTCGTTTTATTCGTACAGGAGTTGCCATGTCTTTACCAAATGTAAAATCAATGGTGTGAAGTCAGACAAACTGTATATTATAAGATTTTCAGTGCTGACTTTAAGTTGAAATGTGAAGGTAAAAATATTTTTTTTCGGAAACGATAAAACTATTAACTTACACAAGAATTATTTTAAATTTAAGATATCATTAAATTTAATATCTATGAAAATTATCATAATGAAACTTTTCATTTTATATGGAAAACTTGAAAAAAAGGAAAGTGTCATACGTAAAACGTAATAAACTTGGAGCTAGCAATCCCACTCGCTTATTCCGTAGGGCCCGTCATGCTTTATTAGCGGTGTCTGGAGCTTTCAAGTGTCAGTCGTGATACACACGGCTGTCAGCGATATTAAGAATATTAAATCGATATAAAAAATATATATGAAAAAATATGAATACTCTTCATTGGTAAGCTATTAGAACTTGTAGAATAAGTTGATTTAACTGAAACTTTGTGAGGCCATGTGTAATGTCCTTTAAAATATTATGGTCTAATTTTCACTTAAACCAACAATTTAACCTAACTACATGTATAGCGTAAAAAAATAATTCAACAACACTAATCATCAGAAATTTGTAAAAGAATTTCATAGAATATTGAAAACGTAACTATTTATTTAATAAAACAAAATTTTGAAACCTTTTTATAAAACAACAGTGACGTATGTCAGCTTCATATAAAGAGGAAAAATGCTAAACAGTCATTTCACTTACAAGTGGGGTTGGACGACGCCATTTTTCCCCGAGCCGTAAAAATCTGGTCGTTACTTACTCACACCAACGAAAAGGATAATAAAAATATATCAGGTGTTTTCAATTATATATGTGTTTATTCTCGGCAATTACTATTAAAATTATATAAATATTACATTTATATACATAAAATGAAGAAATATTGAACTTATTTTCAATGCTGTATTATATAGCAGTTGTTTTGACAGTTGTAAAGTTATATTTAAAAACAGAATTATAATAAACAGTTCTTAAAGCTATTATTGTAAAGTTTCATAAATATCTAGGTTATCAAGAATAAGACGAAACTATGAAGTTAAAGATTTAGAATTAATTTTCAGAAATTAATTCTTTCAATGATAATATAACTTTATATAATACTAGTCAGTGGTGGCTCAGTGGTTAAAGGGCCCGCCTCTCGTTGCCGAGGGCGCGGGTTCGATCCTGGCCCGGGCAAGTACCAATGTGATTTTTCCGAATCATATGTACTTTCTAAAAGTATTTAGACATCACTGATTAATGTTGATTCCCAAAAGAGGGTTGATGTCAGGCAGGCGGCCGGTCGTAAAAACAAATAGCCAAAAACTTTTCACAAGATGTAAGGCAAACCCTGGCTATAGCTGGGAAATTGCCAGGTAGAAGAAGAAGAAGATAATACTAGCTGACCCGGCAAACGTTGTTTTGCCATATTAAAAATTAGGGACGCTGATAAAAAAGTAAACATTTTAGGTTGTATGTATTTTTTAACGCTATATTATAAAAAAATGAAAACAAAAAAATTAGTCCAAAAATAAAAAATAAAAAATTAAGGGTGAACAACTCTTATGACTTAGGGGTACAAAAAAGATGTTAGTTGATTCTCAGACCTGCTCAATATGCTCACAAAATTTCGTCAAAATCGGTCAAGCCGATTCGAGGAGTTCTCTGTCTAACATCGCGTCACGAGAATTTTATATATAAGATTAAATCAAGACATTCCTAAGTAAAGATAAACACATTTAATATTCTCAAAATGAAAATATTTTTCACAGCAAGAAAACGTCCCCTTAAATGTAAATATGTAATTTAAGTAAAGCGTCAGGTGTCGACGAAGAGGCATGTCATATCTTTTATCTATAAAAGGCTCATAGTACTTATTCATGTCATATAATATCATAAAAATGAATTAATAACAGCTACAAACTTTCCTGTTTACTATTAAGCGTTCAAATAATAATATAACGATTAATTTCTATAAATAAATATAATAAATTCATCTTTTTAAGATTTATGTAAATGCAGATGATATTTCGAATAGAAATGACGTTTTAGAATGTCAAGGAATAACTGAATATGACAAAGAAGGCGTGCGTATTTTAAATTACGAAGTTGAAAATAATTTTTGACAGTTCAGTCATTGAAGTGTCAGTTTGAAGAGGATTTGGATTTAAAAATAGAATGAGACGCTTCTTGCGATTTCGGCCAGGTTAAATTCATGTGACGGGAATTTTTAGATAGTAATTGCTGTGCAACCAATTTTTCTTGGATGTTTTTGGATTTTTTTTGTTTTTTTAATAATGTATATATTTTTAGTGTTTCCATTGTTCGATTTTTAAAATTCTAATTTAAAAAACTAAAATACTAACTCTTATTTTAAATATAAAGCTCTGCACAGACAAACAAATTTTAGATTTACGTCTACACTTATACGCTACGGAACGTCTACGAATGTGCAGTCTACGGCGTTAGTAGACCGTGATGTATAAACTTTGACAATATTACACTTATACAATAACGCATACACGCCATAATTACCCATACTTTTCACTTTTTAATTATTTTTCTTTTCGGTTTTCATTGGAAAACTAAAAAGATAAAGCGAAGCTACACAATTTGTTAAAGTTTTAGTTTCGGCGAACACTAGAGTAATGTTCCCTCTCGATAAATATATGGGGTTCTGTTCATATTATTGCAAGCTTTATATCTGGCTATAAAAATAAATTGCAATGAAACGAGCCATTTCACGCCCTGGTTCGGGAATCCGGTATTGTCCGGTTCGGTCCGGTTTCGAGATTGACGGAGGCTTTATTGACTTTAAAGGCTTATGGAGTGGCGGTTTCAATTTACGCACAGCCGTTTCCCGGCGATAAAACTTGACGTTTTCTAGTCCATCATTGTCAAATATAATAGTGTACCGTACGTTCTGCTAGTTTAATATTATAAATTTCAAGTGATTTAACTGTAATTAACCATAAGGAAAGAAAAAAAAATCTTCGTTACTTACCAGCCTTACAAGGATCCATGCCGAGATCATTTGAATCTTTATTTTCAAAGTACGTAGACAAAAGTTCATCTATTGTGTACTTATGAGGTTCTTCTCTCCCCTCCACCGAGGTTACTTGTAACGCGGCGCACGCAAAAACGACCAGTGTCACGCCGACCGTCACGGCGGACGCACTTATATACCGCAACGTCATTTTGGTAACTACACTAAAACACCACTATAACATACTTTTACAACAATATCGTATACCTGAAACAAAATAAAATAATAAATTAATTTTTATTATTTTTAATAATACTAAAGTAATACACACGTTAAATAGTCAATATATGAAAAAATATATACTTTCTACAAGTAGAACCATTTATCTAATTATTTGTTTATATTACTATTTATTTTATTTATGCTATTTTTTTTTAAATATGGTCTCCCAAAAAATTTATTCAAACCTTATTAACCTTTGTATTTAAAAAGGCGCTGTGAATTTGAATTGAATTCAAATTTTCATTAGAAAATAAAGAATGAAAAATTCATTGACATAAGCAGGATTGAACCCGCAAACTCTGAACAAAACAAAAAAACATACGTCGGAGTCAGAAGTATTTCTTTTATTTAGGTGACGTTTATTATCCCCAGTAGGGATGAAGCCAAAACAAATTACGATACAAGTTAGGTTACAGTGATTCTGTATCAAACACGGTATATTACTTGTTTTTTATTTATTACTTATACTAAATATTTATTGAATCTACATATCTTAACTCTAAGAGCAAGATAATTTTCACAATTGCTTTATGTTGAAATCTTTAATAGTACGTTTCAAAAGCAGTGTTTTGAAGATTTTAAATCGATTTCAATTTTATTTTAAATCAAATATTGGTAACCATAATCAAGGTTGTGTTAAAATAATTTAAAATATTAATAATAGTCTACAAGTTATAAATCAATACTGATTAAAAAAAATAGAAGCAAATACATACAAAAGATATTTATTAAACATTCAAATGACATGTTTTCTTAATGGTCCCAACTCACATTATATTTTGCTTCTAACTCGGACCTTTGATGACATGATTAGCGAATGTTAGGAGAACTTTAAACTTGTCCGGTTAGGTCGAGTATTAAGTTTTGTCTAAAATAGTTGTGCCTGCTGTTTTAGGACAAAGGGGAACTAATTCCGAAACAATTAAATTAATCGCATTACCAAGAATTACTAACTACGTTTGAAATACAAAAGGTCTGGATTAGTTTTAGTTTTTAACAAGGATTTGCAGAAAACCCTCCATTAATATGTTTAATAACTAAACTACTAGCCCTAAAAATATATATTTTTTCATTTCTTCGGTATAAATAATGTTCATTAAAAGGAAGGATTTTTTTCTAGGAAAAAAATGTAGTCTATGCAAAGATACACTACAAGACTATAGTAAATTAATAAAGTCCATTTCAAATGTAAACTGCGTATCCCCAAAAAATCTTTATCAGTGTAGGACGAAAAATGCCAGAATACCGTAGTGAACTTCTTATCACAGGGGTCAGGGCTGAGATAACACGTCCTTTTAGAGGCGAATTTTTTTTTTCGTCCGGTGACTGTACAAGGATGATAAGAAAAAAAAATTGATCTGACTTTCACGTTGGAAGGATTACGCAGCATACTCTCCATGGGATATAAATCATATTACGGCGTTTTGATACAAAATATATATTCTTTCCTATTGTTGAAATAAATTTCTACATTTAGGATGTTTTACTTGAATTGTATCAATCAATACACTAGAAGTACTATTCTAAGTAACCAGCCGAAGTAAATAATCAGTTGTGTTCTTTGACCTTTACTGCAATTAATCCATATGCACCAAAGCGAGGCCGCTCAAAAAAGAATCTTTTGCGTTTGCAATTAAATTCAATTTTGTATGTTACATAGTTACATGTCACACTTTGGAATAGAATTACTCAGTACGGTCATTATTATTACTTAGCGATAAGGGACACACATGGCAATAACCAAGTGCTTTTCTTTGTATCGCATACCCATATACGACCTCATTTGGTTTGTATGGAAGTAAAAAGGGGACGGCCTTGCTCCATTAATAGAATGTCTAAAAATAATCTCGGAATAATATTATACTGCTATAAATGATTAAAAAGCATTAGAAATACTCCATGTTACAAGCTACATCTACTGTTTTAACAAGCTCTTGTATGGTTATTGAAAATCATATTAAAAATACGAGTATTATACATAGAATACGTATAGTTGTTCGTGTTTATGAAAATAGGAACAAGAAGTCAAAATACTTACTAGACATTTTGTATGTCAGCAGACAATATAATTGATATAAAAAAAGGATTTTTTGAGGACCTCACAATTGTGTTAATGATAGGTTTCTACAAAAATGATGTCTTTATTAAGTCCATGGAGAAAAAAAATTAAACATATATTTGATATAATCATCTTAGTAATAAGCTTGTAGGAGGGCGTTATAAGAACAGGAGGGCCTTCATGGGAACTCATACTTTGAAAGGGATAAAGTACAGTCTATTCAATACGACACCAACTCAATCGAAACACTAGATATCACTATCACTTCGATACACAGCGATTCGTCACGAGCGCGGTGCGCGGGCGTCATCCCGAACCACACTAAGATGGCCGCCCTCGCTACCATCACAATCACGCTTCACTAGGCTAACCTCAGACAGCTAAAAGTCAACCTGACGTATGATTTTTGACGGATGCGCCGTCACGGCCGGACTGACATTCGACCGTCCTCGGGCGGTTCTCGGATCAATGAACTACAGTTGTGTCTATTCCGTTCGGCATCCTGACAAACGACTAGTTACAATCATCAAAATGTGCTATGGTACTTAAGACTTAAGGCGAGCATCTCGTAGCAATTAAGCCGGACGACAACGCCTTGTCACTTAACAGCATGTAGGTTAACTGTTCACAATTAGTAGGTACTATTGGACAGGTCGGTCCTTTGGTGGATGTGACCTGGACGACAACATTCGTCTTACCACGATACTCAAAATATTCAGAACAAGTCAGCCAACGTAAATGGATCTGAACCGGACGACAACATTCGTCTTACTACCGTCTGCAGAGCATCCAGAACAAGTCAGCCAACGTAAATGGATCTGAACCAGACGACACCATTCGTCTTACTACAGTCTGCAGAGCATCCAGGACAAGTCAGCCAACGTAAATGGCTCTGACTCGGACGACAATATTCGTCTTACCACAATCTGCAGGGGTTCCAAGACAAGTCAGCCAACGTAAATGGATCTGACCCGGACGACACTATTCGTCTTACCACAATCTGCAGAGCAACCAGGACAAGCCAGCCAACGTAAATGGCTCTGACTCGGACGACAATTTTCGTCTTACCACAATCTGCAGGGGTTCCAAGACAAGTCAGCCAACGTAAATGGATCTGACCCGGACGACACTATTCGTCTTACCACAATCTGCAGAGCAACCAGGACAAGCCAGCCAACGTAAATGGCTCTGACTCGGACGACAATTTTCGTCTTACCACAATCTGCAGAGGTTCCAGGACAAGTCAGCCAACGTAAATGGATCTGACCCGGACGACAACTTTCGTCTGACCAATCTGCAGAGCATCATCACACACATATCAGTGAACAATGATCGAGACGTAGACTCCAATGACCTAGCCCCATCATCTCCACTACTTATACTCATGTGAGTGAACGATGACCCGGACATAGACTCCACCGAGCTAGCCCGTCCATCTCCACTAGCCAAACTCATGTGAGTGAACGATGACCCGGACATAGACTCCACCGAGCTAGCCCGTCCATCTTCACAACCTGATCAAGCGTCGACCGGACGTGGACTCCATCGAGCCAGCCCCTGCACGCTTTGATCCATCACTACTAGAAACATCGGCCGCATCAGCCAGTTTCATCGCCACCTCAAACACACCAACTCAAACTTACACAACTCATTTATGGTTTATCAATGTTGGAGGCCATCAGAGCTACTCAGCTACTCACTTTCATCATCTGACATAGCTTCGTTTCCATTCTCTCCACTCCATGACCCGCCGTCTCGGCCTCCTCATTACTTAGTTCAGTGGATATGTCAACTAACCCTTCAAAGCCTCTGGGTACTGCGCTCAAGTTTTCATGAGAGTATTTTAAAGTGCAATTAGATTCATCGGTATGTTTCAGTTCGTACCTATCGTTGTCTAGAATTTTAATTATGATAAAAGGTCCCCTAAACTTTCTTTGTAGTTTAGTTTGGTAACACTCGCTACACTTAACAAAAACGTAATCTCCCCGAGAAAGAAAAGAAGGTTTTACTTGGGCTTTGCCTTTATTAAATTTAACTACTTCCTTTTGATCTGCGTTTTCAGTGTTGAGGGAAGTTTTATTCCGGATACTGTCTAAATCTAATCTCGGCTCGTCTGAATTTTGGGCTATTAATGATATCCCTAAAGATTGCGCGCGTATGCCAAACATTAGTTCTGTTGGAGTATATCCTGTAACCCTACGGCTTGTGTTATTAAGTGCTAGAGGACTCTCCCAGACCAGAGCAATTCAGTAAGATGGGGTAAAGGTACCGAAAACACTTGCTATATCTGCGGAAAGGCAGTTGGAACTGCTAAGCATTCGCTAGTGAGATGTAAGGTTCTCCTGGACAGCGGTCAACTCTCGCGTCGTCACTATAGGGTTTTAGAGATCATACGTGAAGCGGCCAGTCCTTCGGTAGCCAGAGCGCAAAGGGAAACAACCACAAACGAACGATCAATAGGTTTTGTGAGAGAGAGCACCAGGGCTACAAAATCAAACGTCAAGCCCTACTCTATCCTTAAAGCGGCTTCGGATTAGACTATCATGATGGATACGTGTGAGAAACAACACAAAATCCCCGAGGATACTTGTGGTTCAGCCTCCAGACCAGACACATTTCTATATTCGCGTATTTCAAAGCGCGTTGTCACTAAGTATTACGAGCTCACTAACGAACTAACTCGAAATAGGTTCGTCGCTGATTCGTACGCGGTAAAGGTGGGAGCGAGAGGTATAACAGCCAAATCTCTCTACAACCTACCAAAAGACTTGGGCCCGTCCAGAACCAACATTAATTCATTCTTGGAACGTACGTCGAATTCAGCCCTAGTAGGTTCAATTAGTAGTAGTTTTCAAATTTGGCCAGGTAGG